ACCGAAAGGACCCCAGAATAAAGAGGTAAGGGAACTAACTAGGACGAGAAATCTGTTCCATTTTGTAGCACCACACGTTGTATGTACCACCTTGATACATTATTAGGTAGTGTTTATTTTCCGTAAATACATCTGGCAGAAGAATCATACATGTTTACGAGTATGAAGGAAAAATTCGTTGCCGTAGAGGGGATAAGACGGGACTACGGTCTACGGTCGTAAATTCAAAACAATGCAAGGCCACAAAAACCAGATTATCAGCGGCGACTGCCGAGGACAGTCACTGCAGGAAACTCCAAGCTGTGTGTGACTTTAGCGAAATAGTATTCCCTATTATCATTGCAATCTATCATTAATTCTACACATTTTCACAAATTTCAAATATATTACTTTGTGCTTACTAGTTCATGGTGTGTACTCGTATATAATGCTGCACAAATTTTTGCTGCAGAGATATTTATGCAAATACACCTTACGGAGATCTGATTCCGAGCCAATGTTGTTACTCAAAAGATCTGCTCGTTTGTCTATGAACGACACTGCGCTTGAATCTTTCACAATACCACTAAACCGGAAATCTGCGATTCTTCATCAGCAAAACTGTTATTGCCAGGGCATGGTAACAAAAAGTGGATAAATCTTGTTCATTTATATAGTATTTTACCTCATCTGGCACTCTGTGAAGTCAGAATTCACGTTTTATAATTTTGTAATTGATTCAGAAAAAACGATTGACGGCAATCGTACTTTCTCTGCCAGTCTCCGTACATACATGGTAACGCTAGCTCCAAAACTGTTCAGACGATTTTCTCCAAAACTGATATTCTCCAATCGATCAGAACGAACTTGAAGCCCAGTGAGTTTTAAATACATGATCTGATTAAAAATCATTTTTAAATTTTTCTCAAGAATTAAACAAATTATTTGATTACCTTTTTCCCTCGGTTACCGTAAGAGAAGAGTAAAAAAATCTGTCCATTTCACTTTCATTGAAATTTCTGTAATTTTTAAATTTTGTAAAAGTGTACGCCCGAGACTCTGCACTTCTGTGAGCGATATCACTTCTATGGTGGGTAGATTGATCTGATCCACCAGTAACGATGAAGAGTGGAAGAAAATAAAAGCTACTTCATTAGAACCGCGGAAGAATCAATCGAAAAAAGAAGGGTTGTAGTCATTCCATCCCGTAAATATATAACACCATGTGAGAGGGGTCAAGATACCTTTTAAGATATTTTGAAAATAAAATTAAAATAATGTCGACGAAATATCGTTGGGATACAATAAAATAAAAATAAATGTGAGACATTGGGGGCGCGAGCTTATAGAATATGTGAAAAGAATTCACTTGAATGTGATATTTTGAATAATATAACAATAATTTGTACTTTAGAAATTATTTACATAAGACAGTGTTATTAAGACAAATGAACAAAGATGTGCAAGAGAGACGTTGATAAAATAGCATCGAAATGGTAAATAATAATGAGAAACAAAGGAAGCCCTGGGAGGATGAACAGTTACAGATTAGATGTGTGGACACTGCTGCAGAAGGTAATGTGACTTGATCAGAGTCGGATGTATGCCGCGGGCATACATCCGACTCTCTGTAAAAACGTCAGTGTTAATATTGAATTAGCAAATAAATAAAATTCAAAAAGAAATGAAATATTGGCAGCAGACACTTCTTGTCGCTGCAATGGCGATTCATTAATGAAGTTATCATTTAAAAAATAGCAACCATCAGATTAATTAATTCCTATCACAAATAAAGATATTCTCCAGCCATAGTCTCGTACGAGCGGTCAATTTCAGCACACAACAACGAAGTAAATGCAACGCTGACACTGTAAGTATAGCAACGCCCAACCATTACAATAAAATCGAGTTAGGCAAATAAATAATTAAATTAGGAGTAAAAATAAGTTGAGAGGCAGAATGGGAATCGCCACACATGGTTCATTCACGAAGTTAAAGACATTGTGAAGAAAAAGGACGCGGATATCAATCATTTCAAAGTCTAGATGATAAAATACTATACAAACGAGAAAGAAATACAGCAAATCCGGGAAAATGAGAGAGCTGAAGGAAATGTATTGGGAAAGATTTACTTAGGATTTTGAAAGAGATCGGCTCACAAAGAGAATTGAGGAATGCTGAGAACCGCAGAAATCACAGACACTATAAAGATTAATGTTATTGATAGTGAAATATGGAAAGAATACACCGCAAACTTATCTAAATATATTGAATACTATCCAGAATACGTCCCTTCATACATATGGAAGATTCAATTTATAAGAAATAGAAATTACGAAAGAGGATGTGCAAAAGAGTGTAAAAACTCTAAAAAACAGAAAAGCACCAAATAGTGATGGTATTAGGAATGAATTTTGAAGTGTGAGGGCAAGAAGTTAGAAGATCTGTTAACTATATTATTTAATATTGTAGCGTCGTCGGGTACAAGTAAAACACAGACACGGAGTTGTTCTGTACAGATTTATAGCCAAGTTTTTATACACGTATACATGTACACTCCTCGGAAACTAGCGCTGCACGCCCAGCATTGCACACCCCTGAGGAATACTCGCTTCAGTCTGACGCAGACCCCAGCGGCTTGGCGCCGCTCCTAGTCTCTCGTCCCATGGCAACCGCCACACCTCGCAGCCGAAGCTCGCGTTATCCCTTGCGGGTGAAAAGTGCCTTCTGCACCGCGATTCCTTTCGAAAGCGAATGACCACGGCTGGTTACTCTCCAGCCGCCTTGCGAGGGGTAACGTGACAGACCTCCCATGCCGGCGGCGTCCTCTTATCCCGAAACGTGGGCCCGTTTGCAATTCAAAGCCAGCTGCGCCGCGCTGGACTCACCCATCATTTCCCTCTGCGCTAGTTGACACCCGCGCCCCGAGACACGCCCACCCCGGCCCTTGATGAGGGCTCGCCTCTGTGGCCTTCCCCTTGCCGCCAAAGGACGGCCCCCGATCTCTCGCTGGCCTCCCGACATGTGCGGTCCATCTGACCCATTGGCACGACTTTACAATAATATTATCAAGAGAGGAAGATTACCATCTGAAACATCACGTACTTTCTTGACCGTATTTTCGCGCAAAATTACGCGATTAGTATTCAAATTTTCGAAAAATTGTAGAGGGCCTTATTTCAAAATCTATCTTTAAGGACCAGACTTCATTAAGGAAAAAATCACTATCTTCATAATTGTAGATGTAAGAAGATACTGAAAAAAATGAATTTTTCCAATGTTCGGAAAATTAGTTTTTAACGAATATGACGCCTGTACCGTTCTCTTAAACTTTCACACTATCCAACAATAAAATGTATTTAAAAAGAATGGACACATTTCTTTGAAAATGTTCCAGGGGCTTCATGTAAAGTACCCCGCAATATTAAATTAAAATATCGGTTTCAAATTCAAGGGGCCACCACATCAGGCAAATTGATTGCGGAATATTAATTTTGGAGAAAATCGGCTGAACGGTTTAGCCGCAAGCGTTGTTCACAGACGAACAGACAGACGTTTGGCTGTCATTAGATTTTTCGGTATCAAGGACCCACAAAACATGGTTTCTGTCTACACCACATCATAGAGGATGTTTTCTAAATTTAGCAACTGGATTTATCCACATTTTCGTTATCAGGGCCCTCTAATAAGAGTTTTTCTGCCGAAAACGCCATTTTTTCGTGCGGCTTAACTTTTTCTCCATAGCGAGAAGGTAAAAAGGCGTTCGATCGCGTAAGACTACAAGACATATTGGTTATTCTGAGGGAGAAAAATTTTCCAGAATCATTCATTAAGATAATTGCAAGCATTAATACATGTTGTTCTCTCATACATGCCCTTACTTTTCAGGCAAAGTAATGCTTTCATGGCTTTGTCAGATTCTAACATTTCATCCGGAATACGTTAAATAACATTTTCAGACACCACACTAAATATCCACTGCAAGGCCTACGAAATTGTTCAGAATAATATGACGTCATCAAATAGATATTGCTCGCGGAACTTTTCTTGAACGATAGCCTTGCTTCCCCCTCTCTGGCACCACAAACAGATGAAGGCAAAAGCTCGCAGCGAGCACTGATGACAACATTCCAAACACATCTTCACTGGCGCATACCTCAAATGGTAAAAATATACTTGAATTTCTCAGAATTAAAATTATTCTTAAATGGAAACGAAAAAATATTGAACGTAACATGTGGATACAGGGCTCTAATTGCACTCGTGGTAAATAAGAAAACTCGTTCCTGTCATCGCTCGTTTTCCTGAATATACCACTAATTCAATTAAACCTCTCTTTATCCACTCGTTTCGTTAATTACTATATATCCATGGGACCTTTGGAAACAATTGCCAACAAAAAATTTTCGGCAACCCTAACATTTCACACAGTTGTGAAATATCTGATTGTATAATAAATAAAGTAAGATAACAACATTGGAATTGACATAATAATATTATTTAATATTATCCAAAAAATATTTCTTTCTATATTTTAAATTTTCATCTAGAATTTGCCTCTCAACCTACGATTATTGAATTTAGCGAGTCCCAGGCGCAGGATAAAGGCATTTGGTTCGTATACACACTGCCTATCCAATAATATTTAGAAATCAGTGGTTGAGACAAGTAGAAAGTTATTTCTGAAGACAGCAAACTGTCATGGTTATTACCGCACTGTATGGTTTTTTCCATATAGCTAAAGGCAAACATTGCACCGAAAGGAGAAATTCTATGGAATACAGAACCTGTACCAATGACGTATATCATTGTTCTGTATACTACACACTCTATATTGTCCATACGTGGTGTAAGAAATTTCTTACACCATATTGATAAGATCATATCTACACTTTAATATAAATTGAGTGACATCTGACACATCAGGTGGATTCAGTTATTCAATCAGAAGTTACGTTACGTCTTACATCTTTTATACTGAAGCTTCCGATTGGATAATTGCGTCACACGTGATGATTTCTTGTAAGTTTTTCTATGTTAATCGGAGTACAGTATTCAATGAATTTCAGGTTATCTCTACCTCATTTTCTCTTTGGTTACTCTTCGCACCAACACACCTGACCAGATACGTATAGTGGTCGTTGGCTGGTGTCATTCCGGGAAGTAGGCTCCAATGTTGGAGAAAGGTCAGCTCTTCATAAATTGTGGTATTGCGTCACTTGTGTTCACAAGAATTAGATTCGGACTTCTCTGAATATTCTTCAGGATTTGTGTGTGTGTGTGTGTTTTTCTTGTACGATAATTTAAAAAAAAAAAATTATTTCGGCACCTGAATAGTGTTTTGAAGGGTTGTCAGTACGAATATTGAGAGTTGAACATTTTAAGGAGATAGTTTAATGTTTTCAATGTTCTGATTACACATTAATAGTGCCAAAAAATCAAGATTGACTAGTAAAATTTCGAACTTAATGTAGAATGGTGTGTTTAATCGCAAACTGATTTTGACAGCAAATCTTAAACAACATCAATAAAATGGGTACTCACTTTTATTTGTTACTTCTTTTTCAAATAATATGCCTCAGCTTTATTGAAGCTTATCCTCAAGCTGTCAAAGTTTCTATGGCACATACAATTCTTGGAGATCACTTAATCTTTAAACCAAATAAACTTATTCAATCTATTTGGCAGCAAGAACCTGCAATAGCATGTGACATTGAGAGGCCACCAGTAAAAACGCTGACTGATAAACACATATTGCAGTTTAATTTTGTCCCCTATTTATGTGTAATTTTGTATGATGCTAGCCTTAGATATCTTGAACAGAACACTTCTTTAGAAAACACAGAGTTAAATTCAGGCTATGCTCAAGAGATGAGTAAAGAATTCTCAGCTGATACTTTTTGTCAGAAAATGAAAGATAACAAATGGTTTACTACTGTAGAAGAAAATAAGTTGTGGGTATCCAATTTCAGCAATGACATGAAAAATAAAGATGTATGTCAAAGATATTGTGTGAGTGATATAGTAAATCCAATATGTGCATATACTTTATGGATTGATTTATTAGTCAAAAAAATGAAGCACGAGTCTTTGCATCCATCATCATTGGATTCTAAAGGTGAGCCCATTCAAATTATTTTGAACACTTTTTATAGGATGTGTACTTGAGTGCTTTTTTAGAATGTGTGATGGATTTACTGATAAAATTGTAATCCTAAGGAGAAAGTAAGCTAGTTCTGAATTTAGAAAACTTAGTCCATTGAAAATAATAATTTTTTAAAAATTGATTCTGTAGCAATGTCTGTGATAAATAGTTTACAAAGAAATAGATTCCTTCACTTGAATACTTTTGTTGCAGCATCACATCCATCACAACCTGTGGTCATTCCACCAAAGAAGAAGCAAACAGGTACACTAATTGAAAAACTAAATAGTAAACAAGTTAGTGATGAAAATTTGCCCATTATGAAATCTAAAAGATTGAATGTGAGTACTGAGAACAGAAGGCCACTTTCTGGTGATCCTGATGAGAGGTACACTTCTGGTGCTGTTGCTGGTAGGGAGAACATTGACTTGCCATTGACTGATGGAGAGCAGTTTCCTGCTACTGCTGATCGAAACAAATATTTAAAAAATTCTCATCCAGATTTAAATTACATTAAGGAGCCAACTGGAGAACATGAAGTTACTGGCGAAAATAGTTATAAAAAATCCGAGCTAGTGCAAACAGAAAATCCTCTTGCAACATCAAATACTGGTTCCTTGCCTCTTCATCCAGATCTTGATAGAACTAGTGGTCAACTTGAATATCCTGCTCAGGGTAATGATGCACCAAATACCAGTCTTTCTCAAGCACCAACTCAAGTTCTCAAACCAGGTGAAAAAGTTTTGGCACATAGTGAACATAACAATTTGGGTGCAAATTCTGCACCGACTTTTAACTCAAGTAAACCAGAGATAAGGAATCCACAAAGTCAGAATGTTGGTCACAGTGTTTCTGGTCCAGGTCAGTTAGTACTTACCAAGCAAAATGGTACCTCCTCATCAGCCAATCCTCATAAAGTAGTAGGAATGCCAGTGGGTTCTACAGGTGCCATTATTGGAAGTTCACTTCCAGTGAGTGAAAGAGAACACAATACCGAGAGGCAGGAACAAGTACGTGGAGATCATCAGACATCAGCTAATTTAGAAGGAGAATACGAATCAGAAAACAGAGGGCACGTTGATGCTTCAAAAGTTGCCTCACATGGAGGTAAGTAGAAATTACAGAAGAAAAAACGCATGTTCGTTAAAATGTTTTACCAATGAGTGTAATAAAAAATTGCATCATTTTCTTCACATTTTTGTCTCATGCATTCATAAAGCATAAAATTATTTTCAAGCAATTGAGGAGAATAACTGACATTAAGTTTTAAAATTATGGGTATAATTGAACTTGTATACTTATCAGTGTGTGAATTTAGCACCTATTTGTTCTTCAGGCAATTAAAATGTAATATTGTTGTTAATATAACTTCTAGTATGTATAAATAAACTATAAAAATGAAAATTATTTTTTGGTGGTATTTTATTGGGTATGTACAAGTTTTTCCAGAAATTGGAAAAATAATTACTTTGTGCAATTTTGTAGTAGAATTAATTTATTATTTATGTTGTGATCTTAAAAAAATTAGGAATACTTTTAAATGCCAAGTTGATGTCTGTGTTAATGTATTTTTCAAAATTTTTAAAGGAAAATGAAAACTATTAAATGCTTGTTAATGCATGATTTGTAGATTTAATAAGTTGTTGCAGTTTGCTTAGTATCATTTTTGCATGAACTTTTAACATCCTAGAAAAGAAATATATTGCTTGTTTTTTGTCTTGAGGTGCAGAAAAATAATAAAATGCATTCTAAAATAAGTTCCCTTTGATAAATTATTAGGAAGGCAGTCCTGTAATTAGTTACTAGCAGGGGTGAATCCAGCCGATCATTTGGGGGAGGGGGGGCATCATAGATTTCTCTTAAATAATAAACATATTTGTTATTACATTATTTATCATTTCTGTACTGTAGATATGGTACTATACAATACGATTGTTTAAATAATTACATAATTTGAATAAGTAAAAATCTGAAACAAATTTTGCCAAATAAAGCCAGCAGCCAAATAAACGAAAACTGTAAGCTCTGTAGGCATGCCCTCCCTGGATCTGCCAGTGGTTACTACATTCCGTGGATATGAAAAAAATGTTCTATTTTATCTGGTATGTGAATTTCTATTTTTTGCAACAAATATGGCATATTTGACAAAATAAAGTTAATCAAAATATTTTCTACTATATGAGGAAACTGGAGGATTCTTCAGTTTTAATAGTGTGTAGCACATTCAACCTCTTAGTTTGAGACTTGCGTTTATTCTCAAGGAGTTCTTGATTCTTTTAGTAGAGAATGAAAAAGCAAAAGTAATATAAAATAGTCGATCTGCATCAATTTGCCTGCAGCTTTCACATGTTGGCCCTGTTAAAACTGCATATTTATAGTTTGAACGTGAAGTTTTATGTTCAAACATACTTAAATGTTTGTAATAGAACTAAATATGTATGGCAAAGTTACTCAGTTTGATCTGATGTATAAATTTGATAATAAAAGTATTTTGTTGAGGGTGTTTCTAGAGCGCAATGAGTTCAGTTGGCAAATTTTCTTTGGAAACAAAACAAGCATTGTCTTGTTATTAATTTGTTATTGTTCAATTGTGGAGACGTAATTGGTTTCAACTTTAGTTTTGATGCTGATAGGTTTATTCTTTATTTGTATGTTTATGCATGCAATTAATAATGTTCAATTGCATGAAATGTCTGTATTTAGATTCACCAAAACCTACAGTTCCTGAGTCTCCGAAGATACCAGTTCCTTCAGAAGAAAAATCGGATCCAGGTGACTTCTTCTGAAATTTAATATGTTAATCTAAAACCAAAGATTTTTAAATGATAGTTGCAAGGAAAAGAGAATAGTTATACCCAAAACGTTTAGTGTTAGACATTACAACTTTTTAAAAGTGGAAGAATTTTCCTGATTTCCTCCATGACTTGTTCTTCAAATTCATTTATAAAGTATTAGTTTTTTTTTTTTTTTTTAATCAGAACGAAGAATAAAATGCCATTTAATTAAACATGTATTTTAAAGAAAGTCATGAATAAAATACTTCTTGGGGTCGTCTTACAATTGATTTGAATTCAAATTACTCTTATTTTAAAACATGCTCTGTTTTTAATTGAATTTTGTTACTAATTATGTAATTTTTTTCTGTTCTGGACCTTGTGGTGTAATCAATTAGTAGAGAATTATTGAGCAGTAATAAGTTTGTTTTTTTAACTTGTGTACTGAATTGCTCGATAGGTGGCCAATAGTCGATTTGCAGGTATGATGGTGTATATAGTACTTATATTACCCAAATAATTTAGAGACAGAGCTCTTTATTAATGTACATTTTTCTCACTTGTGTTATGAACATAAACTATGAAAATATTGTTACATATTGTTGGTTTTAAAGAGTGTTTTTGTTGAATTCCAAAACTGCAAGACAATTTGCAAAAAGTCTTGAACACATATTTCATTATTTCTCTCCATATCCGATTGCAATTTCTGTGATTTTATTTCTTTTGGTATTTTCTTGCTAAGCTAGTAATACCTATTAATTAGCGAAACTAATACCTATAATTTTTTTTGTATAATATTTATTAAGAGAGTTTTAGCTTGAACTGCATGCTGAATTGAATGTTTTGTGTGTAGCAAGGGTGAACACAACAGCTCCAGAGATTGTCACAAAAGAAGTGCCTGGAAGTACCCTTGCAGGATTAACAGGTGATTCTTATGTTGGGAGGAGTGTACTTTCTGAGCGTTAGAAGAAAAGACCTTATTTATTCTTACAAGGAAATAGGTTGAAGCCATACTTATTTATTTCATGCATTTGAAGGGCAATGCAGTTAAAAAAATTAATTTCATTTACATATCTTACATATAATAATAAATATTCTGCAATACTTCACTGCAATAATTATATAAAAGGTACTAAGTGCAATTAGGAGGCAAATGTCAGTTACTATCACAGTTACACATTCTGTTTGTATCAATATGCTCCTGTTTCCATTCACAGCTTTCTTTCCTCCAAGAAGCTGTGCCAACTCTTACAGTAACTGCAGTCTAATTGATTTCCGCTTTTCTGGAACTAGGCTAATGCAGTAATGTAACATTTTAAACACCAAATGAGCTATAATAAGCATCTTTATACTCTGCTAATGCATTGTAGTGCAAAAGTGATTCTAGCTTGATTAATGATTAACAAATCATTATAATTTCAGAACAAATTTGTCATTAATAACTGTAACCAATTTTGCTTTATCTGCTTAATTTGCTATAGTGCTCAGACAGTTTATCTATTTCTTTCCTCCCACATTGTTTTTTATTTAATTCTGTGTGTATTATTACTGTAGTGTATTACTGTAGTATGTGTAGGGAAAGTTATGTACCTAATGCTGTGATAAAAAACTGATTTTTCAACAGAAAAACTTGTTTTGTGAAACTCTGAAAGAGTAAAAGTGTATAAATCCTGTTCTGATATATAGTAAATTACTCTAACTAAAACGTTGTGTTGTCAGATTACGTTAATAGTGAGCCCTTGATACAGAAAATTTCTTTTTTCTTAAAACGTCCATATGTTGCTCCATTTGTGAACACTATTGATGCCTGAAGCATACGTAGGATTTTCCAAAATGGATATTCCCTGGTCGATCTGACTCGACTACTTTACATGAAGCCCGAGGGACATTCTCAAAATTTTCTTGAAAATGGCTAAAATGTTTTGAAAGAATAGTGTGAAATACACATATAAATATGGCATAGTTCTGTTTTTGGTATTTACTCTGCATTTTTGAAAATTTCAAAAGTTTGAAATGACTTCTGCAATACATACTATTACGAAATTGAAGGGATTTTTCCTTCGAGTAAATTTTGTTTCCTATATTAGTTCTTTCATTAAGGTTATGTACATTTTTTGAAAATTTTAGTAGTTGCGCAATAACATGTGTAATATTTAAAAACAGCTCCAAATTCTTTCTGTATAATGTTAGTAGGAAAATTCTAAATGTATTCTATAAAATAACATAAACTCCATTCCCAATTACTCTATTCTTTTGTTCTTAAAAAATTACAAAAATTAGACATTTTTTACTTGTCTCTCACAGTGTTCCTTTTTGTATTAGCAGTGATTTGTTCACATTATAGCATTTATGAGTACATGTGCTTTAAATATTGTCATAAAGGTTCTTAAAAACTGAAAAGTTTTGTGAAAATAAGCTCAAAATTCCGCGTTTTTGCGGTTTTCCGCAGTTTTGTAATTTAAAAAAAAATCTCTCTCAAACTGTTAATATACACATTTTCAGCATTTGTAAACACTATTGCATTTTTGACTGAAAGTGCTTCAAATAACTTCTAATGAAGTTTGTCAAAACCTCAAAAACTTCCTGTGAAAAGGGGCTTCAAGTTTCGCTTTTACAGTAACGCCTTAAATGCCATTTTCCTAAATATGGCTCTAAATTTTTCAATGAAAATTGCCATATAGGAAAAGGTTTTATTCTTCTTTAAGGTTCTTATATTATTATTTCAGTTCTACTATTAGGAAATCAAAAAAAATTCAGAAAATTTCCTAAAAATGTAGTTTGGGTGGCGATAGCTGGTGAGAGTGTGTGGCAAGTCCAAAAAGCCCAGACCAAAGAAATTAGAAAACAAACTAGTTCAAGAAAGTCTGTGCCATTCTGTAGCACCACTAATTTTCATCCCATCCAAAGTAAAATGTCTCCATCAAACTTTGCATCCTTCTTGCAATTCTCTGTCAAAATTAATTAGCTGTAATTTTTTTAACTTGCTAGTTCATACTTTTTTACTTTCTTGCCCTTACTTTGTAATAAAAAATATTGTAATCATGCACTGGAAAAGTGACAGGAAAACTCTGTGCTGGTCCCTGGCAACAAAAAAAAAGATACTTCTTGTTCCTATGTAAATAACATTTAACATCTCGTGATTCAAAATCTATGTTATGTGGGTTCTCTAAAAATCTATCCAGCAGAAACTATGTTTTGCTATATATATGCCTCTGTGTCTGCCTTTCTCTCCATGATCAGTCTCTCTGCTTGTCACACTGCCTTGTCTGTCTATGGGTCTTGTGTTACTGTGGTCACAGCTAGCACCAAACCCGTTCTGCCAATTTCTCCAAAGTCAATATTACTCGATCAATTTAAAGAAACTTGAGATTCACAGAGTTTGAAATCAATATAATTTTTTACCTGAAGATTTGACAACATTTTTAAAATTTTCTTAAAAATTCCTCAAAATGATTGGATTTAACTTTGTTCTGTGATAGCATAAAGGACACTTAAAACAATGGTGCAAGATCTAACTTTTGTTGAAATGCCTAATTTTTTGAAAATTGCTTTAAGTTCACAATTTTTTCAGTGTCTTCCTAAAACTAAAATATTGAAGATTGATTTTCTTTTCAGAAATAAATTGTTTTTTTGATTATTTCTTGAAATAGATCATGTAAAAGTTTTTTAAAATATGAATAGTTTTCATGTAATTTTGCATGAAATATAGACAAATTTTAATGCCTTATTTTCTCAGAAAAAAAAGCAGCAAATGTTTTTCTTTGAAATTTTTCCATGAATAAAACAAGATACAATCAAAATAATGGTACAGGTGTCTTTTTGTTGAACTTTTGAAAGATGCATGTTACAAATAGTGGAAGAGACAAGCTTTGGCCCAATAAGTACGACTGATGATTTCATGGTGTAGCAGTGAAGTGCATGCTGAGTTAAGTCAATGGGCCTGAGTTTGTCTCATCGTGGAAAACAAATTTTGCTGTTTGGAAACATTTTTGCTGGTTCATGTAGTAGTACAATATTGTGTAGCCATTACAAATAATGCAAGAAAGTATTTGCTGTGCACCAGTAGTTTATACAATCAAATGTCTGATATGTGAAAAAAGATCTTTTTTTTTTTTAATTTATTGATTTTCCCTAAAATTTTTACTTATGTTTAACTGCTTTTTTATAGTACCAAAGAAAAGAAAGAATCTGATCACATGTATGTTGATCTTATGCTTTCTTATAATTACCACAAGACTATTATTGATTCTAATGCCTTCACCCTTTACCTATCCAGTTTCTCCAATTGTGGCGAAGTTTGTTCTTGCTTTGAAGTGTTACTTTGATCATTTCACACAACATTCTTTAAAATGTTCTTAATCAGAATTCTCAATCAGATGTGTGTAAGTTTAGAACATGTGTTATAAATAATATTCATTAATATTTTAATAAGAATATCTAATGATATTATTTCTGAACATTTAGACCCAAAACAAGACTTGGAGCACTTTGGAAACTCTGAATCTGAAGCAGCAAATAAAGCGATTGAAGGTGAAGGCAGAGCCATCGGTGGAGAGCCTGATGATCATGAAGAGCAGAATGCTATGGATGGTAGTCAAGTAGAGAATGGAGATACACTAGGGGATCATGGAGATGATCAGACACAAGACCATGACGAAGCTGGCCTCGAAATGGATCAAGAGTTTGCTACAGAACCTCATCGCTACAATGAGGGAGAAAACGATGAACCTTCCAGGCCTGATGGTTCGACAAAATTATCTAATATCAACAATAAAGACTATAGTAAGTGGAAAAGTATGACATTTTGTGGGTATTAGAAATGTTGAAAATATTTAAAAAATTAAATTCAAAAATGTGCTTCGTGTGCAAAAAAGAAATTGTATGTGTTTTAAGTGTCAGGGTAATTCAGTCAGTGCTGTAGGTATATCTAACAGATTCTATAGTCTTTTAGGCCACAAACAAATATGTTTTAATTTCAACTTTCTCATTAGTTTTTTTAAAACTTAGACCTATTGCAGAAGTAAATGGTAAAGGCAGGCACTTTTTGGTAAAATGCAAAGGGCTAAACATTTAACATTAACATAATGTCAACCTTTCTATTGTACACCTAGGTCTGTTGAACATTGCACAATGAGAAATCTTCCTGTGAACATGCAATTGCCAATTCTGGTCATTGTTAACTCATCAGATTCCAAACTTAATTTGCACATCGAAGTTCATCAATCTGAATCTTTAATCTAGTCAACTGTGGTTTATTGTTTCATCTCACAGGATCACTACAGATCACACTTTCTATTTGTACAAAGCAATTAAAATATTTTATGTACAACAATATTTGAAGAAGTTAGCCACCAAATAATGTCATATATTTGATGGCTAACTTCTCCTTTATAGCTGAACTGTATATAATGTTATTTGACACATAGGTAGATCCTGGTTTAACTTAGAATCTTATTGCAACATTTTGATGATCTGCTAACACTGTTTGGGATAATCCAGTTTTGAGTATTCAACCTGCTGTGTATCAAATATAAGAAGTCAAAATGAGAAATATCTAAATTTATTTCCATATAAGGAAATTACTCAGCATTGCCTGGATTAATTGTCAATTGATACAATTGACACATTGTTTCCGAATATCAAGTCCGTCCATAATGATAGTAAAATATACAATAATAATGAAATATGATAGACTATGGTAAACAGATTATAAGAATATAGCTCTTGTGATTTAAAAAACATGTTGTTACCTACTTATGTTGTGTTAAAAGCTCTTGCATCAAATTATACCCCTCTGATACTGCTTACCTAGACCATTTTTGCTTTACAGTTGTGCTCTATCAGAGTCATCTTTACTGCGCTTTTTTGTCACTGTTACCGCACTGAATGTGCACTTGTGCTTTTCTACAATCCCAACCACTAATGTAATTTGTAGAAAAGTTGTATTTCTGTTCTGTATGGCTGTAAACTAGAGAGCTTTTTAAATGCAATACCTACTTTATTTGTCTCTTTTTTTCCATTATAATCTTGAGGACAATGTTTACATATTTGCAAGGACACACATCAGTATTACTTTTTAATCAAAATCACAACATTTATTTTTTTATGAAATTTTCATATGCATTTGGAAATACTGTATTGTGATCTAATTTTAATCTGAAATTAATTGGACTCCAGCTAAGCTGGCATTGTTAAAACCAACAGTTATTAATTAAAATGCCATTAGTATTATTAAATAAATATAAATTTAGTATTTTCAAAGACCCAACTTGCTATCACTTCTATACTAAGTGGATTATTTATTTTCCAATTTATACAAGCTGATATTGAAGAAACAATGTTTTCTCTATTTTTCCAGTAGTATCAGATGAGGATGAAGGTCCCTGGCCTCCAGGTAATATTGAAAGCTAATTATTGTTGTATTTATTTTGAAATTCAAGAATGTCCGTGATATTCTTTACCACTGATATTTCCTTTCCACAAAATTCTTGCCTTTATGAAATGTATACTACTTATTTACCTTATTCATATTTATACTATACATTTTGAAGATGATTTTCTTTCCTTTAATAATTAACTTTGCCTTATACCAAAAATTCTGTGTTCTTATGACAGGAAGAAATCCAATAAATGATGCCGAAGGAGGATATGCACATGACCGGTTTGTTGATGCTGAGGACTCCCATTTCTTTGCATACTTTATGACCATGATTGTTCTGTGTATACTTGGTTATCTGATATTTCACAACAAGCAGAAGGTAAAGTTGTTTATTTTTAAGTAGTACTGTACTTTTTTTTCTCATTTCTGTGTTGCTATTTTAGTAGTTGAATGCATTTGTACAGAAGTGGAAATGTCCAATTGCAGAAAAAACTGCCTTCACTGTATTATTGAACCTTTGAAATCCAAATATTCATGTGGCTTAAGTACTTTCGTATTCTAAACGTATTGCAACTGTCCATATATTTACAAATCTCTGTGGCTGTGAATAATTTTAAACAGGTCAAAGAATTTTTTAGTTCTGAAACTTTAGAATTTATTTGACCTCTCAATTAATTTGGTGCTATTAGTGAAAGAAATCAAACTTTAATCTGAAAACAAATGATGGGAAGGAAGATAATTTGGCAAGTTCAAAATGATCTGGTGGAATTCAGTTCAGAATTTTGATATGCGATGTATGTAATTATATTTATGACAAGCATCGATAATTTTTTCAAAGGACATTCTTTCACAACATTTGATTACGCAGAACCAAATTTTCCAGTGGGATATTTCCTCTCATTTCTTGTAACTTTCAGAATAATTCTTGCTAGTATTAGTATTATTAATATTAGTTACAGTTGATGCTGTTCAATTGCTTTGTCATTTGAAATGTATGACCTGAAAAATTACATCAATCAATGTATCTGATGAGCAAATATGTGTATTACTTCTTTTGGAAGAGATTTTAGTCATGATTCAAGTTAGTGACACATTAACTACAGTACTAACTTGTATGCCAAAATGAAAGAATAAAATAAATTTTGCACGTGCATTTTCAGCCTATCAGCTACTACTTGTTCTAATAAATTCCAAAAGTAGCTTGCTTGCCCATAGAGGGGTTGAAATAGTTGCAACATGTTTGTGTTCCCACTAAATAGGTTATTTCACTCGACTTAAATTTCATGTAATATATTACTGAAATTTACTGAACAATGATATGAAACAATCCTTGTTCCATTCCATTTTCCTCCTTTAAAAACATTTTTTTTAAAATTGAATAATGTATTGTCTATTTCATTCATGTATTTGTGCTTATTTGATAGATATTGGCACTGGCTTTGGAAGGTCGTGTTCGCAAAGGAACACGAAGACGACCAAGTACATCAGGCTATCGGAAGTTAGACAGCAACTTAGAGGAAGCTGTAACTTCAAGCTGTACAGGATCATCAGTGACACATGTAATCTACTGAGCTGAAAATATTGTCATGTGAATGCTCTAGTACAAATCCTTTGGTTCTTGGAACTTGTGAAATGTGCCTGTAAATTAAGTAACTCAGTATTTGAATATGTACTGTTGTGATTTGAAGCTGAAATAATTTTCAAGTGTTTGTCATACAATGGACTGTGAGAAATAAAAATTGCTTTCTCATTCATATTTTGGCAGATATATGTGTGATTTGAAAGTTGTGAATTATTTGCGAGTGTTCATCTCACAATAAAGAGTAAATGAATATATTACAGAAAAAGTTAAATATTACTGTTGGGTTGAAGCAGCCTTAGCAGAGTTAATGTAGCGTATTCGCGTGAATTTATAGGCCTGTAAGATGACACCCTATGAGAAGCTTCAGTGGAAATAAGGAACGGAAAGTGACAGTTGGTGGCATCTCAAATTTCCATGGTGATGGTAAGTGCTAGGGCAATTGGGAGTGAGGCATTATTGTCACTTGCTGACATGCAGTGCTAGAGAAAATGCTAACAGCCTCTCACAGGCAACTGAAGGTATTACTGGGTTTCAGATGTGGGTTGCTGTGCTAAGTGCCTCAAACTTGAATGAAACATATAAGCTTGATAGACTGTAAATAATGATTAAGATTTCGATGAACATATCTTATTGGACAGGAAACTCTTCTTCCTATGTGAGAGCTTGTGCTGTGGACAACATCGCACAATTTGCTTGCGAGTTGTCCATATGCTAGATAATCTCTAACAAGGGATGTACACGATCTTAAACTCTCAGAACTACATGAAAATGCACTTAAAATAAATATTTGCTTATCCCAGAACCAGTGGTATGAGTCATTCCGATAAAAACTAATGTCTGCTGTTGCCTTTCAACAGTGGTATGTTGTACCTAAACTAATAAATACTTAAGTTGTGTGTTGAGTGTAGGTGCAGTAGTAAGCTGCCTGATTTAATTGTTTATTGGTTAGAGTGTAAACCGTGTACATCATCATGAGACAAATTCATTCCATAAGTGTTGTTAAAATTTTAGAGAAAAAGTTGCTACAGGCTAAATTTGGAAATGTGACATGATTCTAGATTTTATTAATGTATATGGAATAGTAATGCACTCATGCAGTGAGAATGGCACATAAATGCATGAATTTACAGTGGATAAATACCTTCCAACAGTTTAAGACTGTCATCTCCAGAGCAATAGAAACTTTAGTGCGCTTCTTGTATGCTGTTTACTTCTTTAGTGAGCCACAGTGTCCTTTTGTTTTGTATTCTTCCCATTTTAACCTATACTTTCCCTCTGGCTTCTGCTGCTGCCAAAACTTAGTTTTATCTTTTTCCATGAGGATTCAATGTCATCAATGTCCTGCATCTTATTACTTTTTATTTTATCATATAGACAGTTCTTATATAATTGTTTAGTAGTTTCCTCATTCGATGACTGGATGTTAATTCTTTCTTGATCAACTTTTTGATGCTTTCTCTTTTTAATTTGTCGTTAGTTTTAGGAGTCATGGTTATGATCGCTTCCAATATCTCGGCAGTAGATTTCTCACATCCAATATCTGGGAAGGGTGTACTTCTCGATTTATTATAATATAATTAGTCATAGATCTTTGTCCTCTAGAGTTTGCCCATGTATGTGTTGTAATTTATGTTCAAAGAATGTGTTATTTATCCTAAGTTCATTTTCTGCAGTCTACTGAAATTTCACTGTTTTCATTTATAACTTCTTCATTAAACTTCTGTTTAATTCTTTGGATAACCTGATTTCCTATCTTCTCATTCAGGTCTTCTGCTACTGTTACTCTCCCCCGTAATCAATCAAACTCAGAAATTCTTGAAGATGATCATAAAATTTTTGTTTATTGTGAGGTGGTTTGTCATTTTCAGGTACATACACAGAAATTATATTAATTGGGCTCAAAGTAGTTAGTAACTTATCTGTTGGTATTCTCTCAGGTATGTAATTATGACCCTTTATCTTATTAATCTGTTTGTTACTTACCATTATTGCTGCTCCCTCCTTTGCATTAATATTGGACACCAGTGTATATTGATGTATACTTCCCATGCTGTTCTATTCAGTTTCCTTTCTTTTTTGTCTCCATAAAACACCATATATCTATTTTATTTCTTTCAAATTCCATTAATATTTCATGCTCACTAGTATTCCAGGATCTCACGTTCTTTGTCCCAATTCTAATACTTTTGTCCTCTTCCAGTTCTTTATCTTCTTCCGAGCCAAGGTCGTCAACATATGGTTTCCTGGCAAACCCTTGGTTCTCTGAGCTTTATTGCTTTTTACCCCCCAGGCAGGCTGCTAACCTCACCTGGGAACCCTTCACCTTCATCTGGGCTATTGACCGGCAATGGGCTGTTGAGCTACTCAATCCACCCAACAAACACCAAAGGCAGAGTTGTAGTTCCAAATAAAAACCTTAAAAGAATATATGAGGTCACAATTAGGGAAAGGGCAAATGATCTTTAGTTCACTATCTGCATCTTTAAATGCTGGGACTTGAAGCAGAAGGAAATTAAGCAATATAGTCAGGACATTGAAATAAGGGTTTTTGGTCCTGTTATTTTGATATTTTGTTTCTTCGCAGTACTAAACTTAGATTTTTAGGATTCTAATTGATCACATTGAATAGGTGATCATTCTAATCTCTTGGTAAGACATCAGTTTTGAATGGGAGTAACTCATGCCACTGTTTTTGGGATGGGATTGGGAGAGTTTTGAGGTCACATGCATCCCTTGCAAGTATAAATTTTGCATCTGATGGTTAACACTAAATTATCTCCAGAGGCATGATCGAATTTTGGGACATTTTACTATCTTTGATAAACTTTTTCAATTTGCTGTAAACTCCAGTTATCTGCAGCTCCTCTTCTTGATTTATTTATTGTTTTCTCCTTGAATAGTGCAGCTTGATTATATGTAAAATAGCACAGGTCTGATTTTCATTGAAATCTCCCAAATTTGCAAACTTGCAAGGTCATACTTCTTTTCAGTGCCTTCTTTCTGCCATAATATTTCAGACAATATTTTTTTTCTTAATGAAATCTGTTCTAAAAATTAGCTCATTAAATAATATCATGTAAATTGTTTGAGAATTTGTGACTTTTTGGCATAATTCGGAGTGAAATGATGACAACTAAAGAATTACTTCAACAAGATTTTTTCAGATCAAATGGTTTTTTATCGCTCTGAACATCAGTCTTGCATCCCTTGAATTTGAAATATATTATTTATTTTGTACAGTTAGGCCATACGTTTCAAATTCAAATGATAAGACATTTTCATGATGATATTAGTTTAAAACGGCAATATCTCAAAACTAGTACATCATCACATACTTTCTTGCATTATTGGAAATGGCAATGTAAAGTTGAAATATTGCATTTTCTGCACTACTAACACCTCAGCTTTTCTTGAAAACATCCAATTTAACCAATTCAAACAAGGTGCCTGTGATGCATATCTTCATTTATGTTGATAGTCAGGAGCGGCAATTATTTCTTGCTTTGACAAATAAAACAAACAGGAATACATTTGACTTACAGATTTGCTGCAAATTATACAGAAGCGAGAAACTCAATGTTGCCAGCACAGCTTTTCTTTTCAAAGCTATGTGCATTTGCTTGATGAGTAATGTCAATTCTTAGCAAAAACACTTATTTCCATTTGTATTCAAATTTCAACTTCATCGGTTAGTCATAGTACATCATACATAGTTGATAAGAAACTCTAAAACTAATAAAGTAATTAAATGACTAATATTCTACAATTTGTGATATTAAGTTAATTTATTAATGTCTATATTGAAACCACCTCATAAAATGCAAAGGAAAATAAAACTTTCAAGTATATAATAATGTGATTCAGTGTGTTTACTTTAAAAATTATGTCTATGGCAAAATTCATTTAATATAATAAACATTTAAAATGGACCCATTAATGCACAACCATGTGTTTATTACGTAAAAATATAAAATAAATCCCTTGGTTTTGGAAACCCTTGTTTAATTTTAAACTCGCAAAATGTTTACGTAAATAGCAAACATATTTTTTATTTAAAAAAACTTAATCAACGTACTACTATATTGCTTTATACTCATTGAAATTTTGAGTCTATAATGTGGAATGTATTGCTGGTGACTTGCTGAACTGTGAATAAGTGACCTTTCGTTCAGTAAAAATATGTTCTAGACCTTAAAACATGGATTATCAAATAGGTTTCAAATCATTTCTTACAGGTTACTGTGGAAACACAAGCTCCGCTAAATAAAACAGCTTTATCTTATCACCGCCACCATCTCGACGTCCAACTACAAAGAGCTCATATATCGATTGCGGCATTGTTGCACTAATTTCAATTAAGCTTTGCAGTTTGCGTGAAAGAAAATACATTTGAGGATACAAATGAGAACAAAGTTTAACCAAAAAATATTGGTGCCATTGATTTTAAAAACTTGAAAACATCCGAAGGACGTGTAAGGTATCCTCAAAATAGAAATATTGGTTTCAAATTCCATAGGCCGTGACATCAGCCAGAACGATTGGGGGAATATCAGTTTTGGAGAAAATCGGCAGAACGGAGCTTGCATTGTTCACAGACGTGCAGACAGACGTTTTGCCATCATAACTTTTTTTATGAAGGATGCACAAAACGGGGATTCGGGCTACACCTCGTGTAAAAGAGGATTTTTTCCCTACATTTAGCTATGGGATTTAACCACTTTTTCATTACTAGAGCTCGGCAATAAGAGTTTTTGTATCGAAATTTCGCCGTTTTCGGTGCACGATTCCAACTTACCTTAGAAAGTGCAAGAAAGTAAAAATTATGAGTTATGCATTTTGGGACTGGGCCGTCAGTCCCAAAATGCATTACTTACACAGACAATTTATTGCACGAAATGGGATGATTTGTAATGCAATGAAACAATTGTTCTGATTTTTTCTCAAACCTCTGGTAACCAATGCATGCTTAACCTCTGTACCAGTTCAAATCTCACTGTGAGCATACACCAGTGGGAAATACTTTTGCGGGTTCAGATGTTTGTGTTATTTTACTGTGACAACGTTCATCAAGCCAATATTTGGCGTAGTTGGCTTGCTGGAGTAGTCCCCCGTTATACATGTTTTCCGAGTAATCCTTTGTACGGCAAGTTCGTCAGTTAGCTATCAGTGAGTATCTGCTAGGTAGCAATACGCGTACTAATCATAGTTCGCTCCTCTTAACGCCACACGCTCTAGCGTCACTTCCCGGCGGCCAGAATTGGGAAAGAAATAGAACACGGGTAGGGTTTAGGACGCTTCAAAGGGGTTGGACTAGCCCCTGTGAAGAATGCAAACTTGTTTTGTTGGGACAAATTTCACATGACATTGTGAATTATAAAATTACGTAACCGTCACAAATGTTGTAAAAATATGTGTATTGTAGCACCAGTAGTTACTATTATACTTGAGGCAAAATGCACCGAAAAATACTTGTAGATACAGAAAAATACTTTACTGATAACGTCTGAACCAATGGTCCGATTTTCGATCTGTAAACGGCATTTGACTTCTTTGTAAAATATAATTTACGCTACGAAGCCCTTTTTCCAAAAATCTAGCAAAAATTCGAATTTGAAATTAGTTCTCGAACTTCTGAGAAAAAAAAAATTAAAAATGCGGGCTTATAGCGTGATGGCGACATGCTTCCTGAATCCAACGCCGTGACTATCATGCAAAGCGGACGAATAGGAGCGTCGTAAAGTGAAATTTAGGAAAACACCTCGCCCCCCCCCTTCCCCATCTGCGCCGTTGCGTCACCCACCCGATTGTTGTGGGCCCTCCGTCGGCACGGCCAGCCCCGGCGGAGCAGACGGGACTTGCGGGATAGGCAAGCCAGACAATCGGTTTATGCTTTCGTCACTTCGCATTTCAATCTATTTTCCCACAGATATCAAACTAGAGATGCTATACGACAATTACAGACGGAGACAAACGGTCTGTAATAGTAGTACATAACTATCTTTTTCACATATTTCCTTCTTCCTTCGAATACCATCTTAAAATTGTTTGAGTCATTACTCAAAATATCGATTCCGGCTTGGAACTGTTTTTTAAAGAAAGGAACTAATTCTGTAAATATCACCATTATTCCATCTCCTTACATCTTATTTTAGATATATTTTACTTCTAAGGTCTTCCGCCGTGCTCTAAGATCTTCCAGGTTCAAATACCGGAAAGAATGAGCGGAGTATATGCACGATCTCTTTTATCCTACAACTCGATTTTTGATCTCAAAACGACGTGTACCTGCTTTAAAGGGCTCATCTGGTGAGTCTCTAAATAATATACAATATAATAATAAATACATTTATTATTTACAAAAATATATGTATACAAATATATACCCCCACCTCCCGAAAAATAATCGGCTGGATCCGCTCCTGCTGTGACACCTCTTCTAACTCCGTAAGCGCAAGGCGATAACACAGACACCCTCGTATGTCATCGGAAGCGACCGCAGATCCTGCACAGATCTGGCGTCTCCCACGGCAACGCTTCGGAGTGTCTTCGATTGCGCGCGTGCACGGAGGCTTTACTTACTGGAGTCGTAACTCTCGTGGAGGAGTGATGCTTCTCTTATCTTACAGCTGACAGTGTGATTATTGGATTATTTTTATATTATTAATTAGTTTCCCGAGTGCGTTAAAACGGCTACTGTATTACAAGCGTAAATAGAGTAGTATTTTTTCAGTGTCGGTGATTTTCCCTCTTTTGGAATGGGTGAGGGTTATTCCCGATCACTCTACATGGCTGCTTGCGGAGTTTTTTCTCGTCTAAATTATTGTCTCCCAGCAACGGGGGTCACAAAAGACTGGCCTGGGCAGTCCAAGATTATTCTCAGGCGGTATGTGACCAACATATGATGGCTAGTGTAGTGTGGGTGATAATGTTGTGTTTGCAAGTACGAGAGGTGAGAAGCTCTTATATATACAAAGGGATTGAGAAAGGAAAGATCGCGGCGCGAGTACTATTGGCAACAAACCCGTTTGTTAGATGAAATGATCGTGCCTGATATTTGATGAGGCGCAAGATATATCAAAAACTTAGCGATCGAGGAGCAGTTTGCACTGTAGAGTATATACAACAGACACAACGGTCTGAGTTAGGTTTGCTTGAGATCGATAGAACTACAGATACGAAAATGGCAGATGATTTGTAATACGAAACCTACGGACAACATGATAATAGAAAAACACTGGTATAGATAAAGCACTGCTGTTATTTCAGTTGATGCCTGAATCCGATTAGGTATTAAAAGTAACATCGCAGAAAGACAAAAAACTATATTATGAAGCTCAATACTCAACTTCCTACGTAACGCAACAATTGTAAAAAAGTCAATTTATGTGAATTATAGAACAACATCAATATGCAATAAGTTTTACAACAGGCTGCGAATGCTAATTTCAGAAACGTGAGAGTGATCGGATCTGCGTGGTTTCCAATAATTGGATCTTTCCGGTTCTTAAACAAAATAAATTATTTTATCGGATATTATCTTTATTTTGTAGCAAAATTAATATGGCACGCTGTAATTTTCAATCAATTCCATAAAATACAACATTAGGTGTGAGTTGCTTTCTACATCGGGATATGGGGATGATGCGGCTGAAGGCGTATGTGGTGGCCCGACCTACACGTCGAATCTGCAGAGAATTTCTCATCTTCAGATTATCTCCCTAAAGATGGGAGCATCATCAGTCTGATCACAGCTGCCTAGCTGCCAAGATGTGTCGCAGTAGTTTTATTTGCTAATGTTAGATGTAAATGCGTGTAAAGTAGTAAGTGGGTATGGACAGATGAAGAGAGAAGAAGAGATCAGCGCGTGGTCATTTGGTTTAAATGGTATGTGGTGACCTGGCACTTCCTATAGAGTGTTGAATGCGGGGAAATGGGTGAGCGGAGACTAACAGGTAGAGACAGTCCGCCTGGCAAAGGTTCATTCCTTGTAGGTTAAGCGGTCTCATCAGAGACGCTCTGAATTACGAGATTAACAGGGAGAGGACTAATTATAAGGGGTTAAGCTTGCACTTAGAAATATGCACGACCCTTTAGATCACGAACCAAATCTCTATATACTACAGAGAATCGCTTGCAGTAAGACAGCGGGAAAACACGGACAGTCTGTAGGAATGTTGTGGCGATCTATCTATTTTCAACCTGTGGTTGTGGACTAAGTATTTGAAAATTAATAGTATTTATCAAGAGCTCGAAACGCGCGTCTGGAAACCGTTAGAATGTTAGGTGACATAATTCGTTTAAAGTAAAAATATTAAGATTAAAATAGATTTTTTTTCTACAAAACTTCAGACTCTTATATCCAAGTTAGTTATTTATAAATTTAGCAACACTTTTTCATTTAATTGATATACATAGTTTTGGATTCGAAAATTTCTTGCAGTATAAAAATGCAATTACTCTAGGTACTGTGAAAGAAAGAAGTAGCACTAATTAGGAATTTGTGGCTGGTAACAAAAAAAATGAAGTACTAGAACAGAGATAAGTAATTCTATAAATTAGGGTTTTCATATAAATCAAAGAATTATACGATGTGGCAGTAAACAAATTAAAACTCGTTTCTCATTCAAGAACGCATAAAGAAGTTCAGACAATGTTCAAAAAT